ACCCAAGACAGGAGGCATAAAGAGCAACATTAGCAATACCTTAAAACTAAGCACCTCATGTCCAAATATGTAATATCATTTAACAAGTTAGTGTTGCATAAAATCTAAATAAGAAAAATAAAGATTAAAATGTATTTGATCAAGCCGGCTACTCAAAGTCGGCTACTCAAACACAAAGCACCACCAATGTATATGTAATAGAGAAAACGACTATTGAAGGAATCTACAAAAATTGTATATGCATACAAGAACATATTGGAGATAGGAGCAAGGGCAAATGGACAATCAACTTTTGTCAAATGTTAATCGGCAAAAGCAACAACGAATTAAGGAAAGTTGTAAATTCATTATGAGATATATATGAATAAGCCAAAACAATTTCATGAAAACTGAGATTAACGATGGATATATATGAATACTCTCWTCCATCGTTGACCGGTATTCCAACTACAACTGCATCATTGCATCCTATCCATCCTCAGGTAACTGGTACTAATTGTTAAATAGATAAATGTTGGAATGGAAGGAAGGCATTTTGTTTCTGATAATGGTATATATTACAGCAGCCTGTATGGGACAATGATCTTCACAGTCTTCTCCAAATGGGATTTGATGCTAATCTTGGACAGAATGGTTTGTAAATGAATGAATAAAGATTGAGAATATGTATTATAAGAAGGGTAAATGGAGGTGAGATTAATGGGATGATTTTGTGTTTGTGTTTGACAGGAGGAGGAGCAAAGATGGATGTTTAGAGATACTTTTTGTTTGTAATGATGGAAAAACTAAGAAAGAAACAGCATTGTGTTTTTCTTTTTGTATAGCTAGCAGCAGCAGCAGCTCCTAACTGAGTTTTAGCAGAAGATGAGTGAAGAAGCAGCATGTACATTTAAACAAGAAGAAGTTTTTATGAGTGTTGGATTGTAACTAATGAATGGCTATTGGTAGGTTTAGGTTTTGGTTTTGGTTTTGGTTTTGGAATCAACAATTTTCACCTATTACTCTCAAATGTCTTATTATATCGATTCATACTTCAATTAATCAAAAGAAACTAACTGATGCTAAACAATAACATCCTAACAAACAATGCTTTTTTCCTTTTCATTTCTTCTACTTTGGTCACTCAACAGTCAACACAACCATGATAAGTCCATTTTTCCTCCATGATGCTAGCTTTGTTTGTTTATATCCTTACCAAATTCTTACTTTATACAAACTGTGCTCAACCTTTTATAAACCCAGAACCTTGATCATAACTATAATMAGGAATAGAGTATTAGGAAAACAAGTAAAAGAATTTAAATTAAGCTGCTAAATAATATACATCAAGATTCAGCTAATAAACGTGGAACCCACTTGGTACAAAAGAATTGAAATTGCCCAAAACAAACAAAAGAATCCCAGAATACAAAGTTGTTACAGTTCAAATCGAAATGGAAATGGAAATCAAAAYTGAAATGGAATTCTAAATCTAAATCGAAATTAAAATCAATAGCATACCTCAGAGAAATCTTTAGGGTTTTGARGAGATGGTAGAGAAATCAAACCACAAAGAGGGAGTTATATGGAGCGATAATTAAGGGATACATCAAATCGGTCACGTGAACATTGAAGGAAGAAACTCTGTTCTAGGTGATACATCAAAGCAACGTCTGAAGACTGTGAGGGAAGAAAACAACATCTGAACCTACCGAAACCAGTTTTGACGCAGGGAGATACATGAAATAAGGAAGAAGAGGACTGAAGCAAGAAAGCAACTTATGAAGCATCCGTTTTTGGGTGGTTGCCTGGGTTTAAAAGCTTAGCATAAAAAACTTGTACATCTAGCTTCATGAGTTGTTATTAAGAGTTTTTTTGAAATGTATGCATAAAATGGCAGTACTTTGTGCTTTATGGTTTGTAATTAAGGTATGAGTCTAAATGCTTATATATGTAGTATAGATGTATGTATATAAATTAAAATAAATAAATATATATATATATATATATACATATCGGATCGGGCCGGGCCGGGCCGGTGATCACCGTCCCCGCCCCCGTCCCCGTCCCCGTTAAAATCCCCGAATTCGTCCCCGATCCCCGATCCCCGTCCCGTCCCCGATAAAATGTCCCCGAACCCGGCCCGAAAGTTTTGGTTTTCGGTTTTCACCGTCGGTTTCGGTTTTTTTTGCCATCCCTACACAAAACAGCCTTGTAGCTGCAGAAATTTAGCCAGAAAACATCCCCTTTAGTTGCTGTTTTTTTATCCACGGAACAACTTCTTTAGGTGCCGATTTTTTGCCACAAAACAGCCCTGTCGCTGCTGAAATTTTGCCTGAAAACAGCCCCTTTANTTTTTTTATCCACGGAACAACTTCTTTAGGTGCCGATTTTTTGCCACAAAACAGCCCTGTCGCTGCTGAAATTTTGCCTGAAAACAGCCCCTTTAGCTGCTGTTTTTTTTATCCACGGAACAACTTCTTTAGGTGCCGATTTTTTGCCACAAAACAGCCCTGTAGCTGCTAAAATTTAGCCAGAAAACAGCCCCTTTAGCTTCTGATTTTCACATAAAACAGTCCTTTAGCTACCAATTTTGAGCCTACACAGTCCGTAAAGCAAGGTTGAAATTGTAATATTACTTTTAATATAGCTAATTACGGTTGGTTTAGTATCTAATGCACATATGTTGTAATCAAGACTTAAGAATCATATTAAATCCGTAGTGTATAAAAAGGCATCGCGTTGGGTTCAAATAACCCTAACCCAATTCCAACCCAACAAATATGGTTTGGTCTAATTTTGTATCAACTATATGTCGGGTTATCTCAGATTGAGTTTTTTTGGGGGGTTTGGGTTGGGTTGGCTGGTAATTTGAGCACCTCTAATGCACACACAGAGTTGTTGCAGAGCTACTATCTGTGTAAAAATGAAGAAGTTGAAGATGGAGACACCAACAAATGTGACCATAAAGGGTATTCTTGGTATTTTAATAGCAAGTATTGATGAGGATAAGAAGAAAAGGTTAATATCGTTAGGCATGGGTGACCGAACTGCATTTTCTTGCTTTACCACTACAGATATAGCTCAAGATGATGTGGTTCAAACTCTTCAATCCCATACTTTCAACTGTGTTATACATAGACTAAACATAACATATATAAGAGATATAAGAATGATCCCTTCTTACAGGTTTAACACAACTTGTTCGCTAGAAATCTTGAATATTGCTTGTTGCTTTCATTCATGATGAATACTGTTTTCTTTCATAATAATCCATAAATAAACACACATACACGCACGGAAACAGTAACAATAGCATCTGTGTATATAAATTTCTTTTTCTATAATTTCAAGGGTTGTTGCTTTTTTGTCGAAAATCAAGGGCACTCACCGGCTCAACATGATCCGATCATGTGGTGGCAGGAGAAGGTCAACCACCCTTACAGAACTTTCTGTCTCTCTCGCCGGAACCTCGTTTGTTTTACCGAGCATTTTCTTCAGATCCCCAATTTTTTCTTTTTGAACATTATAAAGAAAATCCATGGGTTATTACCGATCATCTTTTTCAGATCCCTAATTTCCAAAGCTGCTCTTCACCCACAAAAAATGAAAAGGAAACAGACCCACAAAAAGCAATGAAGAAACATATATGTGTGTGTATATAAGATGAAATCGGAACAGAAAGAAATCATAAAAAAAAGAAAGCATACCTCCAAATTTTAGGGTTTTGAACAAGTTGTGAAATTAAATCAACAGAGAGGAGGGAGCTATATGTATCAATTAGGTTATGATACATCAAATCACTTTGATACATGAAATCGGTTCTCTGATCGAGGTGATACATCCATACCACCATTGTTATGTCTGTGAAGAAGAAAGGGCTCTGTTTTCTAACCAAAAATATCTTTTTGTTTTGTGGTCAAAGAGAAAGGATAAGAAGAAGAGAAAAGTTGTTGGTCTTTTGGTAGCAGAGTTAGGAAACAGAAGAAGAAGAAAGACCGAAGAAGATACAGGCCCACAATGGGTAATTTTTGGTGTTAGTGGAACCATTGCATATACAGCTTGTACTTTATGCATAATATTTGGTAATTAAGAGTTTTTTGAATTTATTGCATAAAACTATTGTAACTTATGCTTAGTAACTTGTATGTCTTAAATGGTTATATATGTAGTATATATATATATATATATATTAGTTGTGTACTCGCGCAATACGGTGGGAATTGCAAATATACACGATTTTGAAGCTTGGGCTCTTTAAAATAAGAGTATGGATCCAAATTGTAGCTAATCCATGAAAAATTATATGAAAGTTTAAAATCCAATATAGAGTTGACAAACAAATTCAAAAATTATTGGTCTGCTACTTTGATCCGCCATTTCAGATAGGACACAATTCCTTCCATGGTAGAAGAATCACTACTTTGATCTGCCAATTCCAAAGACGATCCTTTCATCTTCTTCTCTAGTTGAGGTTTCATTTCCAAATGGGTTGTCCTAAGGCTTCTTGATGCACCATCAAATTAAAGCTTTGGACCTTGTACTTTTCACACCTTAGATTTGAAGGTCGAAAGAATGAACATGCTTGCAAAAGCTGAAATAAGAAAGATCATATCAGAATATTATGTGAAAGTCAATCTTTGTGGCAACTTGAAGAGACTGTATGATGAAACAATGGTTGCAAACCTGAATTCTTGTGAACGCAATCTCTCCCAATTTGAAAAAGTGGTTGCAGACTTGAATTCTTGCAGACATACTCAAGTTAGAAAGTAAAGAGGTCCGTTTAAAAGAAATGACAACAAAACTAAATGATTATAACTCTATGGTTTCACAATTAACAATAGAGAAAGAAGAAAACCTAAAGGTTGTAATTACTTAATTACACTCTCCAAATTACAGTTAAAAACTAGCTTTAAAAGATAATTATTTTGTTGCATAATAGCTTAGGGGTCGTTTACTAAACACTTAACCGGTATGCACTATCCGAATAAATATTATAAGGGTAAAAAATCTTACCCGATTAGTGCTTTAAAATAGATCACAACAAAACTAAACGATAAGTGCTTGGAACTTCCATGCTTGTGATGAAAATAGAAGATACGGATTCCAATTTTTATTCATGACATTTCTATAAAGAAACTTGAATTCACCAATGAAATAGCTAAAAAAACTTTCTTACCATCTTATTCACATGAGGGGTAAAACAACAAGAAAGGGTTTTTGTTAAACCGTGTGAAGAAACCAATGTGTTTATATGTTGATTGATTGTTTCCATTCAGAACTCATGGCAGTGTGTGTGTATTCTCAGCAACCATGCATGTGCTTTTGTAAAAAGACTTTTATCATTGTATTTACTACATTTTCTGCTTTCGTTTACCCTTTGGTCTTATGATCAACCTAACTATCATTAATTATGATTAATTAGCAATCAATAACTGCAACCCAAGTGTGTCAACGACTCGGGGCTGATGCACCAATGTCCCTTGATTTTGCTACATGGCAAAAGAGAAAGTTGAAGGACATGTGAAAGACAAGGATTTTGGAGTGACAGGACCAACAACCTTTCCACACAACTGTTGGTGCTAAAAAGATGAGATTAGAACTTAATATGTATATGCCAAAAGAAAAATAAAGGAGGGAACCACATGAGTTGATGGGAAAAAAGGATAAGAAGAATACTATTCATTGCCATGAATTAAAGAAGCATGGTGGCATAACGACGAAGGATGTAGACATGGGCACGTTGTTTCTTGACTAAAGAAGCACACTTTATTGTAATG